TCTCGAGCTATGCCATACGCACAGTCGACCAACGGTTGTCGTGCTCCTTGACCTGAAAGGAGCCTTCGACCCAGTTGATCGTTAATCCCTTACTGGCTCGCTCCTTCGTAAAGGAATGCCACAGAAGTATGTGAATCTACTGAGTTCACTCTATTCACATACCTCTGGTAGCGTAGGGGTCTACGGCGAATTGAGTAGGTCGTTCAAAACTAGTATCGGTGTTCGTCAAGGATGCCCTATTTTGCCATTCCTATTCAACTTCGTCGTAGACGAAATACTGGGGAAGGCACTGCGTTGCTGCCAAAATATAGATATTGAAAAGGCAGCTGGGGGGAAGCTATGCTACTTGAAGTACCCTGACGATATCATTTGCCTCTTCGAATGTTTTGAGGCTGCGCAAAGTGCCCTTGACAGACTAGTGTGCTCTGTTGCTCCATTCGTCATGCACTTTGCACCTTAAAAATGCAAAGTGATGCAGCAAGACTGGGTGTAGTCGAGTCCCGTTCTGAACTTAGACGATCAAGAATTATTCAAAGACTTCTTCTCGAATACGATTAGCCGGGTGACCAACGATTGTGACGCATCAGAGGAAATAACCGCCCGAATTTTCGACGTCTCGAGCAGCGCACGCAGGACTAAAGCACGCATGGCGACGTGACGTTTCACTAAAGTTGAAAAGTCGCTTATGATGCGCCACTGTACGATCAGTTCTACTTTATGGTTGTGAAAACTTGAATTTGCCAGTAGAAAATATCCGGTGCCTAGTGGTTCTTGACAATCAATGGAATGGATTTGTAATTTTGGACTGAAATGCGGACATTTGTCCACACAGAGGTCTACAAATACAAATGATATAGCATGGTTTAGTGGTATGAAGAAGTTTACCTCAACAGTGACTGCGGTTGGTGCAACTTCCTCCAGACAGGGACCAAGGGATGAGGATTGCCGATAATTAGAGATGCTGAAATATGGTTCAATAAAAGTCAGTGAAGCGAGAGAACTGTGGTTTGTTTGTTGAAAGGCCGTTCCCCGAAATAGTGTACGGCGAAGGTAACGAAAAATTGTTCATTTGTTCTTGCTTTCTCCGTTTTTTGCTTATCCTCGTTTTCATTTCACTTCCTTCCCATGCTTGTCATCAATTTGGTGATCATATATCTATATCTATTTGATAATAAGTAGTATGTGAGTGACGGGACAACATTTCCCTGGAAGCACACGGCCGGTTTCTCGGTTCTTGCCGCTCGTCAGGCATGCGTATCCGGTAATCTTTTGTCAGTTCATTCATATACTTGTACCCTGGAATGTAGTTTAGTCACAATAACCTTGTTTGCAACGCCGGGTGACCATTGGATAGACAGCTCTTTCAGAGCCAGTCCAACGAAGAATCCATGCTATGATTCGATGTTTTGTAAGTGGGTTAGATGCTACTAACCGCAACAAACGCAACCTGATGGTCTTGGTAGAATATTTGATAATAATAATAATATATATATCCATTGTCGTTTTATACCAAAAGCAATTGAACCACTCTCAGTCGAAGTACTTGTGCACTCAAGCATGCTTCTCTCTTTCATTTTCTAGTCCGCCGACCTTCAGTGGTGTGCCTTGTGAATAATACTAAACTTGTAGCATCTTGCTAACCACTCAAGAAGATATAACCCATGGTTTTTTATGGCTGATAGCTCCCAAAACCCACTCGTGTTACCCCAAAAGAAAGTGGCCTCCTTTTCAGGTTCACTATTATCCAAATTAAGTGTGAATCTTAAATGCAGCTTTACATCATCAAAATCTTAAGCGCCTGGCAATGTGGCGCCGGTAACAACGCTTTGAGAAGCCATTGGATCATACCGATACAAACGCAAATCCACCTAGCGATTTGCCGCTATTTATTTCGAAATTGCCACCGATGAAGTTAGACAAGGTTTCATTCATCTTCTCAACCCATGCTTTCAACTCATTAGTGACACCCTACTTAAACTCCCCACAGTTCCTTGTGGAGAATATTGTTGTTTTTCCTCGGTTTCTCTCCATGATCTTCACGTACCCCCCACCGCCGTAATCACCACACGCAATAGATTCACTCGATGTTTAGATGTTTTCTTGAATGATATGTCGAATTTCAGCGTGTGCGTTCCCAAAGTATTCGGATGATTTCTGATTAAAGACTTAATGATTTCAGTAAAATGTTATAAAGTTATACCATGCGGGAAGTCTTTTCACACCCGGTTTTGAATTCTCATCGTTTATAGGAACCAAACGCGTTTCACAGAAGAATAAAGTGAGATTAGATTCTCATAGTTATATTTACATACATTTTACACAGTTCTGAGTCCAGACTGTGCCTAAGGATAATAATATTTATAGAAAGAAAAAAAGTTCCGTGATTTTCTAAAGGGCGCGATACTGCCACGCTGCCCAGACCGAAGCAGGTGAATTCACAGACGGAGCATTCGGCTAGACAAAGCTTGACCCACAAAGTAGCGGGGTGGTGAGTGTAAACCGTAATCCATCAGGGACCGGCGTCCAGTTCATCGTACCATACGCCCTTTGGAAAGGGTCAAACGGCCAAGGTGCCCAATAAACTTCGATATCCTATCGAGCCGGTGACCACTGCCATAACCAGGGAGGCATGTGTGTGGTTCGTACCCCTCTTCTTGGTTGGATTGGAATCAGGGTTTTTAAACAACTCCCCCAGGTGTACTGCCAGTGATTCACCAACCCGTTTATAGCCCCGAGTGTTGGCTTGTCCTAGTTTTACACAGATTACTATGTGATCAACCCTCTTTTTTGTCTGGTTCGCGATGTACTTTGAAAACGAGCTTATTCGTCTGACAGGGCTGTGTTTACGATGATCGTTTCGCTTACAGAGCTGAATTCAAACAGCACCTATTGTTTTCTAATTTCATGACAATTTCGTCAGGCATGTGGGATTCGGAAAATGAGCTATAATAATCACAATAGACTATAATTATGAAAACCCTTATTATTGACAAATCGAGCGTTTTTCGCGAAGATAGGACGGAAAATTGAAAGTATCACCAATCCGATTTCTCCACTCAGTCTTGTCTCTAAAAATTAATGGCAAAACATAAGAGTATGTCCGAGGTCATAGAAGTTTCAGTGCAAATCTTTTGAAAACCCTTGCGCTTTTGAACTGGCGTATTTACACAGTTCAATATGAATGGTAGACTTCGAAAACTGAACTGATTAACCCAACGGGCATTGAGCGTGAATAGACCGGTATTCTCAAATAAAAGCAACTGAGTATAGAATTTATGGGTATCGGTTAGACCACATGATAGATTGGGTTGGAAACCACAATGAAGCAGGGGATAAAGGACGAATCACAGACAAATGTCTCAGTGGAACGGAGGATGGGGAGAGTAAGGAAGATGTAGGTGACCAAGAGGTGATGGGGTGGGCGAAAAGGTCCAAGTGTAACAAGCAGACATATCGAGTTGCTGCAGAACAGGACGCGGATGGAATGTGCTCGTAAGAGAGATAAAATGTTCGTTTGAAAGACAAAAGTAGAATCAAAATGTACGCAGTTCAAAACACGAACGGGGACCACATAAAGACAAAGAAGCGCAAATGGAACAACAGAGAAACACAGCCATAGTTAGATTCACTGTACATGCTGTCTGTTATACGGAAAAGCGTTACAAGAAAAGATAATTAGCATTGTTAACTAAGAAGATCATCGATCTCGCTTCGCGAT